AAATGATCAAATTAGAGCCCACCTTCAAATAGTGTCGAGAAATATGGTTTCAATACTAAAAAGCTTTGTGATAGCCTTAAATTATATTTTTATCTTTAGTTATAAAATTGAAAGCTTAAAAAATAGTGTAGATCGAGCAGAAAACTTGATAATCTTGAAAATTGACGGTCCAAAAATGTATTACAAGATCCACTATTTTCAAAACTTGAAATCCATTTTTGTATCATGTACATGCATCTTGATGTTGAGATGAGCAATTTGATAATATTTGGTCATCAAAACAACATCTTCTAGTGAAAGTTTTGATGTAGGCTCTAACTTGATTGTTTAGAGCTTGGGCTCTATATAACTTTTCCCTACACACACTTGTTGAAAAGTATGTTAGGATATGGATATATCGGATTCATATTAATATACATCATTATAGATGGGTATATATCTCTTGATATAATTAGGTATCTAGAAGATAAGAAGAGACAGTCAAAGTTATTAGGTCATGAAGTTAGTTTGGTGATAAAGCCTCATACTATTTAGTTTTATTTCCAAAAATCAACCATATTTATCTCTTGTTTTATTTCCAAAAATCAACCATATTTATCTCTTGTAATTGTGTGATTGTCCTCTATATATAGAGGTACTTATTGATGTAAACATTCATCCAAAATAATGAAGATGTAGCCAGTTGGGCTTTTGATCCGTGGACGTAAAGCTTCTGCCTGAACTATGTAATGTTGTGTTCTCTCTCCATTCTCCCTTCAATGTATGTACATTCTATACTCCCACGAATTCTAATAAAGTTTTGTTTTTTTTTTTTCCAAATCAAGTCATGAGCAAAGATCATGTTCTTGTTCTTCTCCCATGTTCCCCACGAGCAAGTCACGTGTTGGCTATCCTTTGACCAAGACATTCGTACTTCGGCCCACATGTAGTACCTCACATTCATTAATAAACCAATGCAATTATACAATTGGGAAAGCTTTAGATGTATATGTGACCCTTACTCTCAACCGTCAAATCGGAGGTGTAATGAAATGGGCGGAGTATCTTAAATATTTAGGGGGAAATGGTGGAAAAAACCTCTATAAAATAGAGTTATTTGTCCATTCGATATGAAAAAGGAAAGTGAGAGGAAAACTAGAGAATTATGCATCGAGTTGAATGTGAGGAATTGTAGAGCCCTATGAGGGGGTAAATCCCTGGATTAGCATCTCTTTAGGGGTAAATCCCTGGATTAGCATCTCCTTAAATTGGTGTTTATCTTATAGTATAATGAGTCTATCAGTGTGCTAATAATTGTTTGTATGATGCATGATAAAACTTTCTTTGAGTTACACCCCCCCTGAAAAAGTGGCATATTGTCCTTGCTTTGAGAGCTAATTACCAAACTTGAAGTTTATACAATATTTAAGGCTCCCCAAGATATGGTATGCTTGCTCTTCCTCCTCCCATATTTTATTACCGAAGTCAGATTTTTTACCAAGTATGATACGCTATAGATGGGAAGCTTAGTACCTAATCCTCTGAGGAGTGGAGCAATCAAGCGTCTTTGTATAATTTCGAAAAGTATATATAAAGATACTATTTATTTTTAATACAAGATGTTGCAATTATTATTGTCCCTCAAATTTCAAATTGGGCAGTTTTGGGTGTGTCTTTAACTAGATTCGAAGTTTAAAAAATAATTTGTTAAACTCTATGACGCAACTCAAGATGTCTAATTTAATATCTAAAGGTTAGAAGTGATTATGACCTCTTTGTAATAAAGATAAATAGTTTCATAGCGTACAATCCCCACATCAAAAGTATCTTTGCGATTGAGACGAGCAAAGGGCCATGACTTTGCCTTAGCCCGTCCCACCATAATTCACCATAATTCTTATAGGGCCGGCTCGGCCCTGACCAGGCCTACTACAGTGAAAAGGAAATTTTGAGAAAGAAAAAAAAAGGAGAAAAATAGGGGGAAAATTGGGCTGGGCTGTCGTTGGCCAGACCTGTCCAAACCCTTGGGTGACTTTTCTCGCCTAAGGCCTAGTTTTTCAGGGCCGAGCTATGGGGCCCATTGCCAGCCCTATTTGCAGTGTTGTATTTTTAACGGCGGTGAGGGAACCTATCTCGTTTTGAATTGGAATCAAAGAATCTGTTCATCATATCGATTTATCTCCTAGCCTATTTCACTTTCTTGGAGTTATTGACGCTCTTTGGAGGCAAAATAGAGATTTATTGAATGATACCTGAGTGTTAAACTATTCCATATCTCTTTTGGATCTTTCGGTCTGATTTCAAATACCTATCATTTTTTTTTATCAAAATTTAAAGGGTATGGTTCCCAAAAGGTGCCAACCTTAAATAATCTAATTAAGATGCACCTGCGAAACTCATCGAAAGCTGTAATTTTGGTCTCGGAAATTTCAAAAATGATATGAAAACTATTGTATGTCTAATTATGAAATTTAACAATAAAAAAAATGGACGGTCTAGATAATGCATTATAAGATGTACCATTTTTTGTGCATGAAAATCTACTTTTTTTCCACATCAGTTCTCGAGGTCAAGATTGTCAACTTAATGGGTTTTTCATCATCAAAACAATATTTTTCCATGGATTTTTGAGGAGCGCATTTTTTCTATAGTTTAATATTTAAAATTTTTCCACTTTTAAATAGCCCATCAAATGAGGCATCATCATATTATAAATTGTTGAAAATGGTTTGATGGGTGAAAAGTTAAAGGAAAATGGTTTGATAAGGCTGCAGCCCTATCAAAATAAGTAAAGTCTCATCCTAAAACTCACTGAGTGTTATAGTTATAGTGTCAATAAACCTTTCAATCACTGAGTGTTATAGTTATAGTGTCAAGAAACCTTTCAATCGATTATCTTGGCCTTGATCATTATGGTTGCAAAAACAAATTAGGATTTCCACCTTAAAATAGTGTTTATTATAATGCAATATCCAAACTATCCTAGATATAAGTTTTCACATATTTGAAAGATCTACAATATTTTCAGAGTTGGTAGTAAAATTTTATTTCAAGGCATCATGATGATTTTTTATGCCCAAAATACTTTCTAAACAATGACTGGAGGTGATGTGAGGCTTTACTTTGTTTTAATAAAACATAGGTATTATAAAAAGGTTTGGTTTGTATAAAGCCTGGGCTCCAAACAATCAAACTAGAGCCTACCTTTAAATAGCATTGAGAAATGTGGTTTCACTACTAGAAATCTTTGTGATAGCCTTAAAATATATTTTCATATTTATTTATAAAGTCTAAAGCTTAAAAATTAGTGTAGATTGATAGATCTATGAAAACTTGAAAATCTTGAAAATTGACGGTCCAAAAATTCGTTATATAAAACACTATTTCCAAAACTTGAAATCCTTTTTTTTCTCATGTCCATGTATCTTGATGTCCAGATGATCAATTTGAAGATACTTGGACATCAAAACAACTTCTTTTAATGAAATTATTGAGGTAGGCTCAAATTTGATTGTTTAGAGCCACGGCTCCGTATAAACTTTTTCCCTTATAGAAATTGCATCCAATGTTAAATAGTTGTTCATTGATATAAATTTCTCATAAAAAAATAATGAGCTATTCAGGAGATCATTATGGAGATCCTCCTTTGTAGAGACGTGGGGGCGATGGCGTGCGTAGGATCTTCAAACAAAAAAAAAAAAAAACAAACGATTTCTTCCATCTAACCCAGTAAAATAAAAGGGTGTGGTTTGTATAGGACCTAGGCCTTAAACAATCAAAGTAAGACGCACCTACAAATAATTTCAAAAGATGTTGTTTCAGTACAAGAAATCTTTATGACAGCCTGAATATTTATTTTCATATCTAATTATGAAATTTAAGCTCTAAAAATAATGTAGATCGAGCATATCTTATGAACACTTGAAAATCTTTTAAATTGACGGTCCAAAAAAAATATTACAAGATGCACTATTTTCAACACTTGAAATTCATTTTTCTCATGGTCATACATCATAAGGTCGAGATAATCGATTTGTGAATTTTTGGACATCAAAACATCTTCTAGCGAATTTTTGATGTGTGTCTTAATTTGATTGTTTAGAGCCTCATCCTTGCATAAACTTTTTTTCAAATGAAACACACGATAATAGATAAGATCTCTGGCCAAAATTTTTACGTTATTGATTCTCTTAGACTTCCCACAGGAAACAGACAATACCAAACACATTCAGGGCAAACAAAACGAGAGAGAGAGCTTAGGGGCACTTGAGTTTGTTGCCATGGGTGGTCATATCGGTGTAGCACTTGCCGCACATCTTTTTATTACCAGCAGTACCGGGCGGGACGCACCTGCACCGCTCGCAGCACGTCTTGCACACCCTCTTGCAGTGGTTCGGTCTCGAATGCAACAGGCATCTCCCTTCACACAAGCTGGGGCACTCTGAATACATAAACAATCATTCATAAGCCAAAAGATTTCCTACTTTTGTGGGAGTATATCCATTTACTCCCTTCATAAAATACTTGCTAGGATATTTTTTTAGATCTCAAATTTTCGGATATAATCCCTATAGAAAAAGTATATCATGAGATCATTTACTTTTGGTATAAGGTGGTCACAATTAATCTTGACCATTGAATGTAAAATTAGGTGGCTGCATTTATTTCACTGACCAAACTCAAAGTTCAAAAGAAATTTTATCAAACATTGTAACACATCTAAACTATCAATTTCACATCGGATAGTTATAAGTTATTGTGTCCTCCTTGTACCAAAGGTAAATGGTCTTATTGTATACAATCTCATCTTTATAACCCATAGAATAATTTCAACAAAAAAAAGTTTGGAAGTAAACTCTCTATGTATGGAAAAAAAAAAAAAAAACTAATCCCTCTGGAATGAATAGAGAGCATCTAATTTTTTGAAAGACTAAATCTAAGGCACAAATTCTAAATTTTAAAATTTTCTTCTAAAAATAATCATCTAGTAATATTTATATGTAACATATATCTCGTTCCCAATAAAAATTAAACTAGCTAGGTATTTTGACCAAGGGAGTAGATAAAGTGATACACACTCCCGTGGGACTCAAAAAATGCATCATGTCCTCGTCTGTGTGTTTGTGTAGAGAGAGGCTTCTATATTATGAGCAACCTTTAATGTCCACCGGGGGCAACAATGGGGCCGGGGCAGGTGCCGGTGCCGGAGAGGGGTTTGGGGCATATGTGGGCTTCGCTGGTGTGGCAGATGCAATGTTCGAAAACCTGCTGTTATTCTCCTCAGCTTCAGACGAGACCTGCATCACAATCCCATGCAGTTCTGTTAGAGAGAGAGAGATCTTAAATCATCAATGATAGAGAGAGAGAGTGCTCTTACCCCACCAACGAATAGTAGAAAGACTGCTGAAACAACAAACAAGTGATGAAGCGCCATTGCCATGAGGACACAAATTGCCTAGTGCAAAGGAAGGAGCAACATTGGGCATGGTATTTATAGAGAGAGAGAGAGTAGGAAAGTTCCTGAAGGAGAACATGCACAAAAGACAGTGCATGTGCAGATCTCTTCATAGCCAGCTTGTTGGTGGGCATCTCGCACTCAGATTTTCTTTTGCCAGTCAAACTCCTGTAATTTTTTATGCACTCTTCCTTTACAATTCACAGTCCCAGTAAATTTAGAATGGGGGAGGAGACATGAGCTCATATATTTTAAACCCTAATCTTGGACCATGCATTGGACTTCGCATGCTATCCGACAGACATGCAACGAGGGGGTTTCCAATTTGTTGTCTCTTTGAGGTGGCGCCTATGATGGTGTGCAGTGTGTGAAGTGTTTTAAAACCTAAAATGGGGTTTCGAACCGATCCCTGTTGAACCAGTTCGGATCGTAATCCCTGATGAGGTGGGCTGGATTTCAAACCAAATTTTGCGGATTATCACTAAAAACTTAAATAAATTAAAAACTGGGTGCATGAGGCGATTTTGGGCTTTTCTATCCCAGATCGGCTGCTTACTTGTTCCGGGTCGAAATCCATTTCGACCCACCCATTTTTAAAATACTTGTAATGTGAATCCCCAATCAATTGATAAAGACTATGATAATGATGATGATGAATGTGAATCTCCCATATAGCATCATAAACATAGCTTCTATAAAGAAAATTATTAGGAAAAAGAATATGTATTTAGCGACTGATATAAGTACGTTAGTAATGTTAGAACCCATGTTGCTCTTTATTCGTCTACTTAAATAATGACAGACTTAAAAAGAAATGGTAAGAGTATGCAATTCACCTTTGGGAAGAAAAAACATTGACTAGGTTTAGGATGATGATACAAAATCATGCCACATTTAGCCTATGGTATTCTCTCGATGTCAAGGGCATTTTTGGTCAAACAAAAGAATGAGTTTTATGGAGCCATAACAGTCATTGGAGAAAGAGAAACATGAGAAGAAGTGAGGGAGCTCTTGTAGAGAGTAAAACACAAATTTTAGAGAATTAAAGATTGTGTTTTGCTCAAACCCTAATTTTGTTGTACCCTTGTATTGGCCAAATTTCATGGGCATTTTTATGTCGCAACAGAGTATGTTGGCGGTAGCAAAGCAATAAGTTGATTGATAGTATTTTTGTGGTATACAAATTTATTTTGAGTTTCTTTTTGCCACTGTAAGGTAATCTCTACAAACCAATTTTTTGTGGTGATTGGTTTGTAGTATGTGGTTGCATCATTGCATTTTCTATTTTATTTTCTCTTGATTTTATCTTATTTTACTGAAATTTACTACGCCATATTCGGTTCTTGGGTGTATGGATTTCTTGAAATCGATTTATCGGTAATTGGCAAGTTGGTTTCAAGGTATTGAATTTGTTGTGGTAGGGGTTTCACTGAAACAAGAGGTAATTGAGGGAGTCTCAGTTCCTAAAAAGTGCTATCAGAGCTCAAAAAAAATGTATGATAATTTGAGAAAATGGTTACTTACAAATTTGAAGTATAAAAGTTTGATGGAAGGAAAAATTTCCAACTTTAGAAAATAAAAGTTCATTGACATATTGGTACAAGGTCTTTATAAAGCACTATAAGGAAAATATAAGAAACTGAAAAGTATAAAGGATGATGTTTAGGACCAATTAGATAGGAACGCTCTCACCACAATTTGCTTGTGTTTAGCGAATAAAATACTATTTAATATAGTAAGAGGAAAAACGGTGGTGAAATTATGGGCAAAGATAGAAAGCTTATACCAAACCAAGTCCCTTGCAAATCAAAATTTCTTGAAAAGAAATTTGTATTATTTGAGGATGCGTGAATGTATGAATTTGAGGAACATTTGAATGAATTCAATAACATAGTTTATCAACTTGATAGCACCGGGGTAAATATGGATGAGGAAGATAAGGCGATGATGCTGCTATGCAGTGATGTTGTTACGTTCATTACCGAAGTCTTATGATAATCTTATTACTATCTCGAGTTGTAACAATGAAGAATCCCTCAAATTGGATTCGGTTTGTAGTATACTTCTTGCCAATAAACTTCGAAAGAAGGTGTCAATAGATAGTTCATTGGGTTTAAGAATGAATGTTCTTATGGCAAGACCCGGTTGGATGAACGAGGTGGTTCATCAAGAGATTTCTCAAATAGCCAATGAAAGTTAAGAGGGTCTTATGATAAAATTGGTTGTCGATTTTGTGGCAAGCCTTGCCACATAGAGAAAAATTGATGGAAAAGAAAAAGGGTAAATGCCTTAAAGGGTTCTTATTTAGGAATAGAACAATAAGATGAGGCCAAGAGTGATGTTCACCAAGTTGAAGAATGAACATTTGATTATGTTGAAGAGGAGGTGTTGATGGTGGGATGTTACTATCAAAGTTGGATACTTAATAGTGGAGCCACACATCATATGTGCTCAAATAGATCGTAGTTTACTGCATATGAGCCTTGTAAGGATAGTTTGGCATTAATAGGAAATAATTTATAAGTAAGACGATCAGTATAGGCTTCATTTGTATAAAAATATATGATGAGATGGTATGAACATTTGAAAATGTGAGGCATGAGTTGGATTTGACAAAAAGCTTGATTTCATTTTGTTCTCCTGATACGAAAGAATACTAACTTATCTAGCAAAGTGAAGTACTCAAAATTTCAATGGGGACTCTAGTTAAGATGAATGGAGTCCGAAAAAGAAACTTGTATAACTTATTAGGGAGTACAATTGTACAAAAAACGATAAATTTAGTTGTAAAAGAAGAAGCTCAGCTAGGGTTACATGGTTTGGGAATGAAAGATCATAATGGTCCAAAGCAAGGTCTTGATGAGGATTTGGGATTTTCACAACACGATGAAAAGCGAGAAGTACATCATAAATTTCTATCTCACCAAAAATTTTGATAAAGGAAGGGCCAATGTGATTAGTGGTGTATGCTACTCTAGTGTTAATTTTGATCATTGCCATGATATATATAAAATTTATTAGTCCACTTGTTTGTGGTTTTCTTGATTGATTGGTGTTTAGCCTAAAAAAGAAAGTTGAAATGAAGTCAAATGGGTACTGCAAATATGAGCAAGTATTGCTAAACTTTGAGCATATGCAAAGCTTCGTGGGAGAGACATGTCCAAAGGATCTTAGTGGCATTAGATCAAGCACCAGTTGTGTTTGTAGGTATATGGAAAATGATTCACCTAAAGTATATGTGGAGGCAAGATAGTCTCAAGAACTCAAAAAAGAGAGTATAGAAGTGGAGTTTGCATACGAAGCAAAAGCACAAAAGAAGATGAGAAATGCATGCTTATAGAGATTATTAGACTAGAAAGCTTGTGGCATTAACTAAATTATTTAAGTTCTTCAAGAAAATGGTAAGCAGATAAAGATGTGATTTTGTATCGATGTGAAGATTCTTAGAATAATGATGCAAAATCACCTCCCATTTATTTTAGGAAAAATTATAAAAAAATCTCAAGGCGACACTTGCTATGCATCTTACCTCCAACCTAATTTTTTCTCTCACTTTTTTCCTCAAAATACACTTCTATGCAAATACCCCCCAGCCAAATAAAAAATAAAAAAATGCCTAAACTATCCGCCCTTACTTTTACCTTACCCATGCCTCTCTCTCCACTTTCCCACCAAAATAGGGGCTCCGTAAGTTCGATCCGGCAATAAGGCTCCGGCACTGTATAAAGTACGGTCCGACAGTAGGGCTCCGACACTATGTAAAGTGCGGTCCGGCAGTAGGGCTTCGACACTATGTAAAGTGCGGTCTGGCAGTAGGGCTCCGTCACTGTGTAAAGTGCAGTCTAACAGTTGCAAAGGGCGGTCCGGCAGTAGATGTTACTAGATTCCAGGACTCTGGCACTATGTAAAGGCCGGTCGGTCCAGTAGTTGCCTTAGGGTGGTCCGACACTTATGCGCTTTAGCAATGTGATGGTGCGCTCTGGCAATGTGCTACTTGGGTCCAAAAGTCAACATTCAAAATAATTTTTGTATACAGGAAAGGCATTTCTATCTAAAAAAAATGAACTTTTTCCCTTGGGTGTATTTGCATACAAAGTTTGTTTTGGAGAAAAAAGTAAAAAAAAATTAGGTTGGACATAAGTTGCATAGAAAGTATGATCTTGGTATTCTCTCAATGCTAACGGCATTTTTTGTCAAATGAAAGAATAACTATTATGGAGCCATATCAGCATTGTAGATAGAGAAACATAAGTAGAGGTAAGGGGAACTCTTGGTTTCAAGGTATTGGATTTGTTGTAGTGGGTTGCAACATCAGTTCCCAACAACTGGAGATCATGTAACACAATTCGAAGCATCACTTATTTGAATCGGGAATTAGTGGATACCAATATAATTTATAGCCAAAATCAAGATTCACTCTAATTTTGGTAGACTTGCTCAGTTCTAACATGTTAGGAAAGTGGCGGATTTGGATAAGACAAATCACCTTATTTTCACTATTTCAATTTTTATTTATTTTATTTATTTGTATATTTTTTAGACTAAAAATAGTACTTATATTGTTTTGATCAATTTTTTACTTTCTATATTGGAGAATCGGTTCAATCTAACCCGAATTGGTTAGTATTGGTGTAGCTGGGACCGATCTGGCCGCTTGAATTTGGGATTAAAACTTGCACTGTCTCGTTCTCTCTACGGTGTCAACCAAGCACGCACAATTGTTGTTTTTATGGTCCTCCGGTTACACTTTCTTGCTCTCTATCCACCGTGTCAACCAAACGTACAAAAGGGTTGTATTTATGGTCCTCTACATACATCCCTATAGCGGTAAGCTCACACATGTTGCTTTCATTGTCCTCTAGATGTCCCTGTAGCAGTGCTCGGTAGAAGACCCATGCAATGCTGTGAGAGAAAGCAAATAAATATGGTCAGATTCAATTTAGTGTTTAAAAAATCATTGATTCGGATCGGATTCATCTGATCCTTATTAAAAATTGTCT